CATGACACAAAGATGTCATTGCTTTTAAAACCAAACTATTTGGAGCCAAATGTGATTAATTGTTAGAAATTTATGCTTTCTTACCCACACAGAACCTCCAGATTCCACTGGAGGCTGGGCATATCTTGCCAGGGTGAGTGTGACTTACCTCTGCACTTTAGTCTATCTTTTGCAAAATATATGGCTACCAATTGTGTGCTGAGTGAAGGAATAGCATCAGGAAGCCGTTTACATAAACATTTTACTATGCGTGGTGTGCCCATCACATGTGACAGACCTCACATTATCCTTTGGTAAAAATACCTTGAGAAATGAGAAATGTGTAAAGTGACAGATGTGTCAGTTACCCAGATGAGATCATTACGCATTGCATACATGCATTAAATGTCATATATACCCATAAGTATGTAGAAGTACTTTGTGCACTGAAAAATGATTAATTTTAGTTATTTCCATAAGAATTGACATTGACCTTTGAGAAATTTCCAAGATTAAAGGAAATCATCTTTACAAAAATTTTCACATATCCAAAAACTTTAGGTCTTATTATCCTATTTCTTACTTCCAAACTTCTTTTAGACAGGTCTGACTGTGTAGCCCTGGATAGCCTCGAACTCACTATGTAGAGCAGGCTGACCTCATACTCATGGAGAACAGCCTCCCTTTGCCTCCCGAGTGCTGGGATTCAAAGTGTGTGAACCACCATGTCTGGCTTATTATCCTTTTTAGATGTGGCTAGATTTTAGTCATTTGCATTCTGAGAAACTTTGTCCTCATTGACAGATCTTACAATTTTAATATCTGCCTTGATCACATAGCCAGTAGTAGAGTTGTGAAACGGTAATTCATTGTTCCTCTCCAGTCTCCACGCTCTTTACCATTCACCTACTTGTTTTGCTGTTTTGATTTAAATCATATCGGAGCCATACTCAGCTCAGAGATAAAGGCCTCACCTTATATGATATATATTATTTGAGATGATGTATCCCGTTTATTGTCAACTTTGCTTGAAGTGTACTTATTCAATATATATAGAAAAGGACACAACATTGGAAATGGTTCCAGGCTGCCAGGATAGGAATGGGGAGACTCGGGAGGGAACATCAGTAGTATTCTGGAGCAGGCAAAGGTCACATATCCCTGAAAATCATTATCTGATCAAGCTTCCCTGTGTGTATTCAGCTTGCTGTCTTGGATTAAGCTGAAACCACGTAGATCTTGGTTCAAATCACACCAGTTTTTTGCCAGTCTATGACATGGGAAACTAGAGAGTAATTTTAAAATCTAGCATTCCAGGCCTTATCTGAAGGTTTTCCCTGGGTGAAATGTTGTACCAGCCCAGACTGAAAGGACAGAGCCTCCCCTTCACCTTCCACGCTTTAATGTAGGTAAAGTACCAGCAGGAGGGGCAGTGCCAGCAAGTCCTGCTTCAACAGAAGTGAATTGGTTTTCACAGGCGTCTTCTGTTTGTCATTAATTTAAAGAATCTCACAGAGTGTCTTTAGCCAAATCTGTATATGAAGGAACTGAGGAGTACCAACAGATTGGGAATGAAAAAGAAAGGTCGCATCCAATCATATCAAAAAGATCCGGTTCAAAGAGTAAAAGAAAGTTAAGCTAATTTTAGTTATCAATTACCCTTGTAGTTTATTTTAGAATTCAAATATAGCATTTCTATTGGACAGTTAACTCTCAGTTCCATACCACACAATTTTATATTCTAAACTTTTAGCTAGCACTTAATATTTTAAAAGACCCCAAAACTACAATAAACTCCTCTTCTGACATCGAATACCCAGATCAAAAGTTGTATCCGGAAACTGGGCAAGCGTTTTAGATTCAAACAACACTTCTGTAGCTATGATTCTAAAACTAGTCTTTACATACTAAACATTTGCTTTATGCTAGATACTGTGACAGGTATTTCAAAACATGATCATATTTAATGTTTATTCAACCAAGAAGTAGGTGTCATTACTATTAATAATTAAACTTTAAAACAAGAAAGGGGAAACTGTGAAGGGGGAGAGAGAGAGAGAGAGAGAGAGAGAGAGAGAGAGAGAGAGAAACTGACTTGTCCCAGATTACAAATTTCATATTTGACAGAACTTATACTTCATTTTAGCTTTTACTGAAGTCTGACCCTTTATTACATAATTTAAAAAACATTTATTTATTATTTTTTGTTATTTTTATTTTACATGTATGAGTATATTATCTGCATGTGTGTTAAATGCACCTGTGTTGTGCAATGCCTGCAGAGGTCAGAAGAGGTCATCAGATCCCCTAGAACTGGAGTGATGGGTGGTTGTTAGCCACCATGTGGGTGTTGGGAATCAAACCTGGGTTCTCTGCAAGAGCAATCAGTGCTCTTAACTACTGAAGCATCTCTCCAGTCTCCATAAAATTTTTTTTACAGGCTTAATTATGGTAGAATTGACCTCTCATTCATTTGGGTATTTAATTTTTTTCTTAATAAGAAATTACTTTCAATAATTAACTCAGTTTAAGCCCATCAATTTTCTATATAGAATGCTTAAGATATTTGGAACATGTTTATGACTAAAATATTGAAATTATTTTGATTCAGACCAATTCATTGATATATAAATTATCAGTACAGTTTTATGAATTATTTGTCTAAATGAAATTTCATTTTATTAAATTCCGCTAGTTGGAATTTTTTGTGGACATTATTACTTTTTTGATAAGAATGCTTAAAATCTGCTCTGTTAATTTTAAGTGTGCGATACATTCTTATTAACTATAAGTCACACAGAAGATTTTTAGAACTTACTCATGTCCTGTAGTCAAAGCTTTCTAACAATTGAAAAGCAACTCTCTGTCTCTTCCTTACCTTGGAAACCACCATCCTACTTTCTAGTTTTATGAGCTTGGCTACGTACATCACATGCCTTACACAAGTACAATCATGTAATAGTTGCCTTTCTGTGACTAGTTAACCTAGCATAATGTCTTCCAGGAGTGTCCATCTTGTACAAAATGACAGAACTTCCTCCTTTTAATTGAGGCTATAGCTCATTATACACAAATACCATATTTTCTTCAGCTGCCACCCATCCATGATTATTTATGCTGTTTCTATACATTGGCTGCTGCAAACAGTGCTGCAGTATACACAGGACCGAGGAGCTCTCTCTAAGACTGATTTCAGGGTGTTTGAAAATATATGTACAAGCTGGGCGTGGTGGCACACGCCTTTAATCCCAGCACTCAGGAGGCAGAGGCAGGCAGATCTCTGTGAGTTCAAGGTCAACCTGGTCTACATAGTGAGTTCCAGGACAGCTGGGGCTACAGGGAGACCCTGTCTCAAAAAGACATCTATCTATCTATCTATCTATCTATCTATCTATCTATCTATCATCTATCTCTATCTATCATCTATCTATCATCTATCTATCTATATCTATCTATCTATCTATCTATCATATATCTATACTTATAAATGTGATTTCTGGATCATATGGTAGTTTTCTTTTATTTTATTTAAAAACATTTTTATTGGGCTTTTGTAAACATTTGTCTGTTTTTCTGTAGAAGCTCCGCTATTTTTTTTACATTCCCATCAACAGTGCATGTATTTTCCAACTTTTAAACCAGTACCTATTTTCTATTATTTATTTTACGGTAGTCATCCTCACAGATATTATCTCAGTATCCAATAATTTTTATTTCTCTGATGATTAGGGACATTGAGGATATTTTTATATACCTGTTGGTCATTTATAGATCTTACTTTGTGGATATCTACACAAGTCCTTCACCCATTTTAAGACAGTTATTTGGAAGTTTTTTTTGTGGAGTAATAATGACTTTTTCTTCTTAGGTACTTTGATGGTCCACTAAAAAGGCATTGCAATGCCAAAAACCCATGCTGAACTATATTTAAAATGATACTTGGGTGAAAATACATAGGAAAAATGTAAGTGGATGGAAAACTTATTCTAACAGAAATGTAAAGTACACACTAACACTCTGAAGACAGTAAGTTTGAAAATTTTGCAAATGGGACTGGAATGTGAATTTAAAACATTCCTCAATTAAGACTAGGAGTTCCTTAATTTGTATTGATACATATCAACCCCCTTTCATTTCTAATTCAACAGGATAGGCTGTGCATTTCAATAATGGATTGATGATGTCAATTTGAAGCATTTGGAGCCCCCTTCTCTCAGTTCTAGCTTACCTGGTACCCACAGAGTAGAATAGAAATTCTCTACTAACACACGCCACACACACACACACACACACACACACACACACACACACACACACACACCTACCGAGTCTATTTAATGTTGCTCATATTTAAATGTATTTAGGGATCAGATATGCCTTTATGTATATGTAACAATAAGAATTAAAGAAGAAGAGGGCACAAACTTGAGATGGAGTAGGGGGGGACACAGGAGGAGTTAGAGGGGTGAAATGATGTACATAAGGTACATCTAAAAAATAGATAAATAAGAATGGTAATTCTTAGAAGCCAGTATCTTCTCACTGGAATCATCCCCAGATACTAATTTACCTAGAAAGGTGCATTATTATGACCTATGGGTTGTTTATAATAATGTTGCAATTCTGGCTATAATAGTTGTAGGTATTGAAATAATTCAAACAAAGCTTCATGACATAAACCTTTCCTCCAATTTTATAGATGAATTAAATAAAGATGGTCAGCTACAGTATGATAATGATTAACCTTTCTCTTTTTTAATAGGCTAAAATTGCAAAGAAAAAACACTGGAAAAAATTAGAAGTCATATGTCAAAATGTGTTTCCTCTTTTGCCTGTCACTGTGACATATTCATGTTAATATTTACTTGTTAATAATTTCAATGCTAATATTTTACTGTAACTTTTACTACAAATATTTCTTACTTCCATGAGAACTTAAAGCTTTATGGAGAGTTGAATAAAATATAAGATTCTTAGATGCAGTTTGTCTTAAGTCTGTGCATATCATAGGTTAGGGAGAAATGCCTATTTCTGATGGTAAGGTCACTGCTGCCATTCATGAATTCATCCTTCTGGGCTTCCAGTGTAGCTGTGATGTAGAGATTCTCCTTTTTATTTTGTTCTCCATTATCCACATCTTGACTTTGTTGGGCAACGGTACTATTATCTGTGCTGTGTGGTGGGACCCGCAACTCCAAACCTCTATGCACACCTTATTGGCCAAATTCTCTTTCCTGGAGATCTGTTACATCAATTCCAGTGTCCCCAACATGCTCTTTAACTTCTTTTCCAAGGCCAAGACCATCTCCTACAGTGGCTGTATTCTACAGTTCTACATCTTCTTCTCACTTTGCGCCACAGAACTTTTCTTCTTGGCTCTCATGGCATTTGATAGGTATGTCACCATCAGCTGTCCACTTCACTATCCCATCATAATGACCAAGAGAATCTGTGGAACTCTTGTGCTGACCTGTTGGGTGGGTGGTTTCCTCTGGTTAGTGACACCTACCACCCTTGTCTCTGAAATTCCATTCTGTGGTTCAAACATCATTGATCACTACCTGTGTGATTTGGGGGCATTGCTGGCCATATCATGTGTCCCTGTCACTAAGACATCTCTGACATGTAGCACTTTCAGTGCAGTGATCGTGCTTATCACTTTGTTCTATATCCTTTTGTCCTGTACCCTGGTCCTTCGAGCTGTGGTTCAGGCTCAAAAAAGTTCAGGCAGGAAAAAAATCCTTCTCCACATGTGCTTCCCATTTGGCTGTGGTGTCACTATTTTATGGCTCAGTTGTGATGATGTATGTAAGCCCAGGGGCTGCCAACCAGCCTGGCCTTCAGAAATTTGTGTCTATGTTCTATTCAATTGTGACTCCACTTTTAAATCCTCTGATCTGCAACCTTAGGAATAAGGAGATGAAGGTTGCCTTGAGAAAAGCCATGTGTAAGGTTTAAAATACTATTCTTAAATTGAAGATATTTTATTGAGTTAAAATTTGAATCCTGCCATGAACAATAAAGAAAGTTATGCTTAAGGGCAATGAAATGTGCTAAATCCAGAGTGCACACTTCTAGAGAAAAACTCCATAACTTGGAATGTGATATGTGGCTCTTCTTCTTCAACAGAGTCTGCTTGTCTGTTGAGAATTTACTAATGTTCACAATTATATTGTTTTGTCTTGAGTATGCTAATATTTTATTATTATTATTACTATATTATTTTATGTGTATGCATGCATTGCCTGTATGTATGTAAGTGCACCCATGTCATGTGATACCCACAGAAGACAGAAGAGGCCATCGAATCCCCTGGAACTGGAGTTACTGGATGGTTGTTGTTGGTTCTGGGATTCAAACTTGGGTCTTCTGCAAGAAGGGCCAGTATTCTTAACCTCTGAGCCACCTCTCCAGCCCCAAGTATATTAATATTTTAAATAAATACAAACAATTGCAGTTTCAATGAGATGATATCCTTATTGCATCTTTATCAGTGGATTCTGCTGATAATCTGAGAAAAACCATACCACCTTTCATAATACTATACATGATATTCATTTACCAACAATTAACTTTCATTTGGAGTGTCTATAGGCTCTTTAGGGAGTTGCACCACTCATCAAAGAAGCCTCTTTTTGCATCAGATGGAGGTTATTACAAAGTTCTATAACTGATCAAAATCAAGGCAGTAAGTGACAGTGTGGGTGCCTAGCTGCAATGATGCTTCTACAATGTAACCCCTACACCTAAGGATTAGGGAACATTCTGGAAGAAGGAGCAGAAAGGTGATAAAGGCAAAGGAGCAAGGTGCCTGGGGCTAGATAATGTCTTTTAGACATGGTATGGAAAATGCATCCATTAAATATGAACAAAATGGTTGCCTGACAAGACAGGTACAATGACAGCACCTGTTGACATACCTAGGAAGACTGGGAAAATTTCACATGGTCCCAACTCTAGATGAAGAGCAGGCTATCGATAGCTGTCAAAGGACAGAGAATCTGTTTCTCCAGGGACAAGCTGTCTGATAGGTTAAATAACCTCAAGTAGTCAGACCTAAACACATACACAACAAGCACTGCTAAATGGACTCAGTGAATTATATGTGTGTGGATATGTATATGTGTATGTAATAATAATAAAGATGAGGACAAGGGGGAGAGAGAGAGAGAGAGAGAGAGAGAGAGAGAGAGAGAGATGGCAAAGGGAAAGGGGAGGGGTGGGAAAGATACCAACACAATACTCATGTCTGAAGTTCTCAAAAATAAAACAATAAAAAATTCTAGGTGTACTAAAGAATTGAATGTGCAAAACATATTGGAATAGGACCGTGAACAGAGTACGTTTATCCACTGAAAGATGCTGCTAGGACCTACAAAGACAAAAGTCAGTAAGCATATCAGCATTATAATGGAACCACTCTTCTTTCACTAAGAAAGACAAAACTGACTTCAGAATTGTGAAATGATGTGCTGCCAGTACATTTTATAAGAGTTGGCATCTGTTCTATTAGTTGAACATGTCTTTCGTTCATTTGGACTAAAGGAAACCTCAGTATCAAGTAGAACCACTCCATGCAACAAGACGTCAGATGGTGCGTTTCTGGTAGGGAAAGTTTGTTATACCACTCAAAGATCACATTTTTGCTCTTTTATTTTGTTTTTAAAAATTTCTGCTCTGGGGACTGGAGAGATGGCTCAGTGGTTAAGAACATCGTTCTTGCAGAAGACCTGGGTTCAAATCCCAGCACCCACATGGCAGCTAACAACTGTCCGTAACTCCAGTTCCAGGGGATCTGACAGCCTCTTCCATCCTCCACTGGCATTGCACGACATGGGTGCACTTACCTACATGCAGGCAATACACGCATACACATAAAATAAAAATAATATTTAATCCTAGCAGTTGGGAGGCAGAGGCAGGCAGGTCTCTGTGAGTTCATGGCCAGCCTTGTTTACATAATGAGTTCCAGGGCAGCTGGGGTTACAGGGAGACCCTGTCTCAAAAAGACCAATGATGATGATAATAATAATAATAATAATAAATAAAATATTTCTAAAAACTCTAAAATAAAAAATTTCTCCTCTGTAACTTTTATTAATTGAATCTGCAAGTGTAACAATGTAGTAAATACATAGTTTCAAGAGGGTCTGTTTACATATCACACACTTGAGCCACGTATACAGCCTCATGAGAAGCTTGGAAGTACATGATGGTTTTCCTGCTCCTATCAGAGGGAAATTGATAGGAGATTAGAACGGGTGTTGAATGACCCACATCCTTAAAAACATTTTTCATGTATTGGGTACTGAGTTTATGGTTTCAAGCTAGATCAGCATTCTACTTGAATAACATTTCCAGGCCCGTTTTTACAGTTTTGATACGGAGTCTCACTAACTGTTCAGGCTGACTTTGAACTTCATTATAGCCCAGGTAGGTGTGAACTCATGATCCTTCTGCCTCAGTCTCACAAGTACCTTTGATTATGTACCTGTGTCACAAGGACCTGTAGAAGGAATTTAAATAGAGGGAATGTGTTTCTCTTGTGATAAACTGGAAGGAAACATATTAGGAAAACTGACCCAGTAGAAACATAATTTCTTAAGCATTAGAAACAACCTTATTAGAGATAAAGATATCAGAATTTAAAATAAGAAGAGAACATTTTAATCAAATAATTGAGAGGATACATATTAAGTGAAACAAACTAGGTACAGAAAGTCAAATACTATGTGACCTAATTTATACACTAACATTCAGAAGGTTGGTTGCTAGAAGTTGAGAGGAAAATGGTGGCTACCAGAGACGGGAGGGTAGGAAGGAGAGCAGGACGGAGAAAGGTTGGCCAATAGGTGCCACCTTACTGTCTGAGAGGAGGAGTAAATTCTGACGTTCTACTGCACTGTTGGATATGACAGTGTATACTATATCTTTAATAAGAAAGGTAGAGGGAAAACTTGAATGTTTTCTCCACAAAGAAGTGATAAATATTAAGGAGATAAATGTGCGCATCTAGATTTCAACATCAAAGAATGCATGAATGCATTGAAGCATCACACAAGGTCTCACAAATATGTCTAACTCATATATTACTGAAAAACAAAAATGTATAAGTAATGCTGGTGAAAATAAATTGGACAAATAATTGTGAAAATAATGGTTTAATGCTATTTATCAAAACAGGGGGTTGCTAGAGTGCTTGCCTAGCATGCACAAAGTCCTGGGTTTGATCCACAATACCGTATAAACCAGGCATGGTGGCTCATAGCTGTAGTTGTAATACTCAGGAGGTGGAGGCAGTAACATCAAAAGTTTAAGTTTACCCTCACCTACATAGAGAGTCCAAGGTCAGCATGGGATACATGAGACACTGGCTCAAAAAAAAAATCCAACAAAATCAGGCTTTGATAAAATAACTTTAGTTCTTAATATTTGTCCACAGTGTACATAAAGAAAAGATTTGCAAAACTTTGATAATTGCTATATTTCATATTTTTCATGTGTAGGGTTAATGATATCTACTAGGAGTTCAGGTGTTTAAGATAGGAACTCCCAAACCAAAGAGCCTCTTTACACACAGGAAAGATACTGAGGTTCCAGGCATGGTGGCACATACTTGATCCCAGTGCTGGGGAGGTTAGGAGAGGATAAGTTGGAGCCTAGTCTGTACTACATAGTAACTTCCAGGTAGCTCAGGTTTACAAAAGAAAAGAAAAAGAAGATATTGAAGACAGCATCGGACACAGTTTACGTGATATTCAGAGTTCAGAGAGAATGGATCTCATGAATTGCATGGAAGTGAAGCAGAAGAGTAGGATAGAGCGTGAGGCCCAGTAGACCTTACATGACAGCTGACGGATTGCCATATAAGAAAACCTGCTACAAAAGAGGAAGGCTGGAGCCCCTCCCCCAGGGCTGATGAGAACCGACTGAAGCCACTGGCACATGTGGAATGGCACTGGAGAGTGTCTGAAGACAACCTGTGACCCATTATTCTACTAAAACTCACAACCTAGTGTGGAGATTTAAGATGCCAATGAGGGGCCCACAATTCCCAGTCCCCCTAGTTCTCATTCCCGACAGGTAAGGACTTCCCAGGCCTATCCACTTGGACCCAAACTTCCTGGGCCTCCCAGATCCTGGTGCCAATCAGTAAGGGATCCCTGACTGTGAAACCCATGCCCACACTTCTGCTGTGCCCTTAGTTCCTGAAGCTGGCAGATAAGCAGTCCCCATAGCATCAACTCCAACCCCACAAACCCACACAACCAATTAACTCCAAAAGCACAAATCTCAGAGCAAAATGAAAATCTAAGGCACTATGTCTCCTCCAAAAGTTATTAATCCAGTAATAATGGACCCCAATGAAAATGAACTTGAAGAATGCAGACAAAGAATTAAAATGATTGATTATATACTATGTTTAAACAACCAAAAGGGAAAAAACCCAAAGAGATGAATGAAATAAGGAAGTCCATTCAAGATATGAAAATAGAATTCAATAAAGAGATAGAATTACTGAAGACAACCCAAACTGAAATGGTGCTTCAAATGAATGAAGCCAAATAAAAACCTCAGAGGAATGCTCCAGCAGTAGAATAGATTATGTGCTGAAAAGAGTATCAGGGCTGGAAAAAAAGTAGAGGAATTGTATCAGTAAAAGCCAATGATAAATTTATAAAAACACATGACTGGAGTATGCTAGATCTCTGGGACATCATGAAAAGACCTACCCTTCTGACTATGGGCATAAAACAAGGAAAGACTACCATACCATCGGAATAGAATATATTTGCAGTAAAGTCATAGAAGAAAACCTTCCACATATAGAGAAAGAGATGCCCATTCAGGCAGAAGAAGCCTGCAAAACTCCAAATAAACAGGTCCAGAAAAAATTCTCCAAGATATGCTTTAATTAAAACATTAAACACACAGAATAAAGAAAGCACTAAAACTAT